CGTTTTCAGGCTGGCGGGTGACTGAAGCTCCCAACCGCTCCTTTTTTTCTTTTTTTTCTTTTATTCTGGGCCAGCTTTAGCTCTGAGGCCTCGGCTGCTGAAAGGAGGTTCTGGCCTTTGTTTACCTTCTGTATTTGATACAATGTTGCGGTCCGGCTGGCTGAAGCCCGGCTGACTAAAGCAGGTTTCTGGGGTTTTGTTTAGCTTCTTATTTGCAACATAGTTGCTTAGAGTTGCAGCTGAGAGGCCGGCAAGTCAGGCGGGGAACGTTGGAGTCCGTCGTCACTGGAGCAAGCAAGCCTCCCTGTTCGCTTCAGTGCATGGCTGCCGGCCGCCATCTTGGGTGGCAGTTAATTTGCATATCGCCCTGATTAGCCAATGGGAAGGGTAGCGGATGTACGGCTAATTACCATGTTTCTCTTTTATTAGATAGGATTTTTTTTCCCAAAAAAAAGTTCAACATTCTGTTTCACATCCTTTAACATAATCTGATGTCACAGGTTCTCACCCCGCTCCATTCACAGAGGGCCATTTGTGTTCTCTTCCCGTCCCTACCACCACTCCCCACCAGGGTAATGCAGACTCCCCATCTCTTGGTAACTCAATTCCATGTAAAAGTCTTTGATTCAGGATCCTGTCAAAAGCTTTTCACCAAATAAACAGACAAAAGCACAATCCCCCCCCCCCCCCCATCCTGTCCCCTTTTCATTCAAATGCCTCCTCAAGTACTGCCCTCCCAATAAGCCCTTATTTTGGGTGCTCAGTGACCCTGGTCACATGCAAGGAAAAGAAATGAGATGTATCCTCAAGAGAAAGCTTGGTTCTCTCTCCATACCTGAAACACCACTCATGATCCTGTACCTTCCTTCCCCCAACACACATTCTTCACTCAAGCCACACCAGTCCACTGTGTCTCGGCCGGAGCAGTCATTCATCTCGCCTTTGAAGCACCCTGTTATTCTATCCTGGGCAAGCTTTCTCCTTAGCTAGACATCTGACCCTCCCTGTAGTCAAGCACCTTTCCCACAAACCTGCCCTGACCACTCTAGCCCACACCGACCTGCCTCCCATCTATACTTGCCTAGCAGTACCTCTTCCTCTTACATGGCAAAAGAAGAGAGAAGAGCTTCCCGGGGAGAAAAACGTCACTCAGTTGTGAGGCAAAGCAAAGGTAGATAACAGGAAGCAGAGTCCACAGTGGGAAAGAGCTGGGAGATGGAGAGAACACTCTCCAGGAGGAACCAGGAGGCACTCTTTGGTGAGCTCTAGCAGCCAACAAGCCTCAAGACTGTCACTAAACTAACTCCCGGGGGATTTTCTGTGTCATGGAAAACTGGACTTACTTTGTCCAATTACACTTTATTACCTACGTGACTCAAACAAAGCCTACTTTGTAACTGTAATGTTATATATATTAACATTCCACACAACACCAGACATATGCACATACAAATATGAAGAAAAACATGCTCCAAAGTCAAATACAAATAAGGAGATGCTCTGATGCTTTAGAGACCATGAAACAGATCACAATGTTATTACTCTATCTTCCCCTGGTTTGCTAGAATTGTAACTTATTAATATGTGTTATTTCTGTGAAAGAAAGAGAATATTCTTAGGCAATAAGTGACAGAGCTGACTGCACTAAGAGGGAACGTTTTTGAAGCTACAACTCACCAAAGGGAAGCTGCTGTTATAAGAATTTGGGGGGGAAAACATCAAGTTTTCCCTCTTAGAAAAAGCAATCTAATTTAAGGACAAATAAGGAAAGATCACCAACTCAGTTGATAGAATGGCTAAAAAATTAGGTCAAGTGTAACAGAAGCATAAATACCAACAGAATATAACAAGAATTATACTTTTGTTCTTTGTAGATTTATTTTCTTTTCTAGTCAACAAATATTTAGTGAACCTTTGCTGGGGAACGATCAACAACCTACACTTAGTACTCCGATCATCACTTACTGAATGAAAAAACTTGCCCTGACCAGTGTGGCTCAGTTGTTTGGGCATCGTCCTGTGCACCGAAAGGCTGCCAGTTTGAAAAATTGCCAGTTCAATCCCATCAGGGCACATGCCCAGGTTAGGCTGTGGGCTCAATCTCCGATCAGGGATATGTAGAAAGAAGGTAGCCTATCAACATTCTGCTCTTACATTGATGTTTCTCTCTCTCTCCCCTCCCTTCCTCTCTAAAAATCGACTTTTAGAAAAACTGGCAAGGCTCTAGGCTTTGATCATGCTCCCTTTCCTCTCATAGTGGTCTGTTCCAGATTTCCTAGAAGTTGATTACTAGTAAATCAGTAGATTGGTATTGAAGGGATCTTTAGCCTTTTCTGCAAATTACTTTCTCTTGAACTTAATCTAATCCCTACTGCCACCTGGTGGCAGCATCAGGTTCTGTCAGCAGGGGTCTCCGTAGCCATGTTTTGCATCAGGGAGCCATTGATTACAAACCCATGTGTTCTGGCTCTTTTTAAAAAAATAATAATAATACTAACTTAAAGAGTCACACTCACCTTTACCCCAGCACCCAGCCAGTGCCTGTTTGTTGATGACTGATTATTTCATCTACAACAAGACTCACAAGATAAAGGAACAAACAGGGATCCCCTGGAGCAGGGGAACGAAATTCTCTTCCTTACCTCTGCCTCTACCTGCTGCTGAGTTCGGCTGTGGTTCTCCTTGTACTGGTTGGCTCTCAGAACTTGCTGCTCAATGCCTAGCAGAACTGCTTCACAGCCGTCACACCTGCAAAGGAGATAGCCAATCTTGAGCCACATAAAGGTCTGGGAGCTCTCCTGCAGACTCCAAAATCTCCCTCCCAACTCCTTACGAGGGCTTTCTGTAACACCCCCTCTGCCAGGGTTCTTACCTCCATACTCCTTCCAAAAGACAAGCGTTTCTAAACAGGGTATATAACATAGGGCACAAAGAGACAAATATGGAGGAGGATGTGGGGTAGTTTCTTAGAATACAGCCTTAATCTCCAAGTTCTGTATCCCATGGTAAAGTTTTACACATCATGAGATAAAAGGAATTAGGAGAGAGTTTACACATGTCTTGAGAGAAAAAATTATTTTCTAAAACCTTGTATTTTGAAGACTTCAAAACCCAGCTAAATCCTCATCTCCAACTACGCCCAACTGGCTTTATAAGCCCCAAATCATTTAAATAACTTCATAACAAACCCTTGTAGAACCTGAAATAGTTCTTGCACACATCAAATTCCATTAAAATAGAGTACGTGCAAATATTCCACTTCTTTTTATATACCAGAATATAGTCACATTAATATAGTGTGAATCTGTGTTCCAACTTAGAATAACCCATTCCTTGTCTTCACTACCTCTCACAATCCTATCTAATAATAGAGAAACATGGTAATTAGCCATACCTCCGCTACCCTTCCCATTGGCTAATCAGGGCGATATGCAAATTAACTGCCAACCAGGCCTCTATCCTATATAGTAAAAGGGTAATATGCCTCCCAGCACCGGGATCAGAGGAGCCGCGAGGTCTCCCGGCACCGGGATCAGCGTGACAGGGGGCAGCGACCAAACCCCCTGATCGACCTGCGGCTCTGTGTGTGACAGGGGGTGGGGCCACAACCTCCCTATCCGCCCTGCTCTGTTCGTGACAGGGGAAGGCGCCCCAAACCCCTGATCAGCCCTGCTCTGTGCCTGATAGGGGGGAGCTCCCCAACCCCCTGATTGCCCTGCGGCTCTGTGTGTGACAGGGTGCGGCGCCCCAACCCCCTGATGGGCCCTGCTCTGTGCGTGACAGGGGGCAGCACCCCAACCCCCTGATCGGCCCTGCCTTGAATGTGACAGGGGGCGGTGCCCCAACCCCCCAATCGGCCCTACCCTGAGTGTGACTAGGGGTGGCATCGCAACCTCTCGATCCACCCTACCCTGAGTGTGACTAGGGGTGGCGGCGCCCCAACTCCCCAATCGGCCCTGCTCTGAGCCCGACCAGGGGCTGCACCTAGGGATTGGGCCTGCCCTCTGCCACCCGGGAGCGGGCCTAAGCCAGCAGGTCATTATCTCCCAAGGGGTACCAGACTGCGAGAGGGCACAGGCCGGGCTGAGGGACCCCCTCTCCCCCGCACCGAGTGCACAAATTTTTGTGCACCGGGCCTCTAGTGTTTTTATAAACACTAGCCCAATGTTACTGATGCTGAACATGGTTTCTCTTACCCAAAGAATCTTACCAACACTAACTTCCTGAGTTTGCAAAGCACAGGGTCCCTGTCACATAGCTAGGCTTCAGAGGCTCCACCTGCCAACCCTGAGAATTTTACAGCCCACCATTAAATAGTCCTCAGCTACACTAGGATAAGAACTATTTTACAACCAAGGCACTAAGAGGCCTGAAATGATTCCTGTTGCAACACAGCTATAGTCACAAATGTAGCCCCTAATTCTCTGCCTTACTATCCTACGACCCCAGCTCCCAGGGAGCCCCAGCTAATACCTGGAGACCATATTTCCCCAAGCAGAGGCTAGCTATCCCCCTGTCTAAAGAGAGGGGAACTCTCCATCTTTCAGCCTCACCACTCATGCAAGGTCTTGACAATATTATTGATGTCCTTCTTTCGGATGTCACGGCCAATGCAGAAGTCCACTTCCAGAAGCTGGTTTCGCTGGTCCAGCTTGCCCTGGATGATGTCAGTGTAGACAGCCTCGATAATGAGGTCTTCCAGTTCCCGGAGATTCCGCATCTCCAGGTCCTTCAGCAGCACGGAGTAGGGGATACACTGCAGATAAGGCCATGTGATATTTACAAAAACCACTGGCAAACATTAAAGAAATGCAAGTATTACCGACATAGCCAACAGCTGCCTCTGGGCTTTGGGAAATGCAGTGTAACGATAATTATTAACATCTATGGCAACAAGAGATGGATAAATGAGCTATAAGACGTATGGGATCCAAACAAAACCCATAGCCCATCTAGAAATGCATTCTCCAAGATTCTCTGCCTCCTGGACTTTGCCCCGCCTTCAGCTTTCATGCTCTCAAGCAAACTCTTTGGGATCCTAAAGACTCTTTCCAGAAGAGAAAAGGAAATACTTGGTATATACTTGGTATATGCCATTCTGCCACCTTCTGAAAGCTTGCAGACTTTGCATAAAATGCCAGCTCATCACAAAACTCCAAACAATCTCAGATGCTGGCGAGGAGAACTGAGGGCACAAGCAAAAACACATGCAGGCTAACACATCCACTATAGGTGGCCAGCAGTACAGCCAGCTCAGTCATCCTCAAGTTTACAGTTGTTTTCTCAGACTCTTGTAACCAATGTCAATTCCCAACAACAGTCCTTTTTTAGGCTGTACCAACATTCTGCATGACTCCAAGACAACTGGATATCTAAACATCCAGTTTTCTGCAAATCCTGACACATTACGTTTAGTCTGGAAATTAACATAGTGATCAAATCTGCAGAAACTGACAGGAAGAAATGGATACAGAGAAGAGAGCACACCTACCTAGAGGGGTTTTTTATGACTAAAGGTCTGAAATCCAGGGGCGATAGGTGAACTTACAATGACAGGTTGCAAAAATAAAGGAAAAAGTTACTACTACTCTTTGGTACACTTAAGAAGTCCATGATCAGGACAAAAATATAAATAAATAACAGGTCATCATTTCCTAACAAAATAGGCCTCCCCTCTGAAATGTCAGGCTAAGAATCAGAAGTTTGTGATTAGATAAGGTAAAGTGATTTCAGCATCTGAAATGGCAATACAAGAACAAACATATACCTCTCAAGCTCCATCACAGAGGGGAAATCCAAAAGCAACTTCTTCAAAGCATAGCCCCACAAAAATTTACTCAGGCTGGGATTGGGCAGAGAGCCAAATCAACTATCAGCTAACCTAATCTGGATCTTCTTTGTTAATGACTATGAGCAGCTGGTTGCAAGGCTGCTGCTAAAGTGAGTGGGGGCAAACTCGGATATAATGGAGTGACATCTTACAGAAGGTTCAGGTCTAAAGCTAGCATGTAAGGCAAAAACTCCAATTAGTATAATTAATCTTGAAAATCCCCAGAGGGCCCTGGCCGGTTTAGCTCAGTAGATAGAGTGTTGGCCCACAGACTGAAGGGCCCCCGGGTTTGATTCTGATCAAGGGCACATACCTTGGTTACAGGCTCGATTCCTAGCCCCAATGCAGGAGGCAACCATTTGTTGTATTTCTCTCACTCTGTCTTTCCCCTTTCCTTCCACTCTATAAAAATCAATGGAAAAATATCCTCAGGTGAGGATTAACAAAAATAAATAAGAAGAAAATCCCTAGAGGAAGGGAGCATATTAAAAATTACTTCTCAGTAAGTCCAACACAGCAAGTTTTTCCTCCAGCATTAGTACAGTTCACTGTACACTGAGCAACAAATGAAGTGGTTCACTTGCCCTGAGATGCCCTGCTGTTTGAAAAATACCTATCTTTAGACAGCAATCTCCCTTTAGGAATGGCAAACACTCACACCACATGAGGCACCACGGCATGCCAGAACTGAGATCTGCTGATTCACTATCACTCCTGGGCATATTTTTCCTAAATGGGAGGGTGAGTAATTGTCAACACTATTTTAATTATCTTTTTATCTTTTGTCCTTTGCCGAGCAAATCCTATGCATTTATGCTATGACTCTACTGTATGTAGCTGGGAATTCCCACATTTATGCCAATTACAGACCTGCCTTGAGGGGAGGAGACAGGAAAGGATTCAGAACTGTACCTTCATTCTCGACGCCAAGCTCACGATGGTAAGGTGCTTCAGCTTGTTCTGCTGAGCTGTGCTCAGTTCTGGCAGGCTCTCCTTGTTGGCTGCTCAGTCCCACCCACCACAAAAATCAAGACACAAAATAAAATTAGGATTTCTCTATGGAATAAGCACACCATTTCCTCACACCAAATCTACTACTAAGTCACTCATGACTCTGCACTTATTCAGACAAGGTGCACCCAAAAGAGTTTTTTCCTTCTCTACAGCTTGAATGGCGTGGGGGGACTAGAAGGACTAGGGACTAGAATCCTCTGGAAGCTCCTCTTCTCCGAGGCTGGGATCAGCTGGGACTAGTGGCCAGCGTGCCTTGGACAAGGCTCGCTGTGCATCTTGGACTTCCTCACAGCATGGTGGCCTCAGGATCGTCAGCCTTCCAGAGCAGCTGGAAGACCATGTGCTTCCAAAGAAGACAAGACTCAGTCTCTACACACAAGGAGCTTAAACTCCTGAAAATCCAGGCATGAATGCACAAAATGATGACAAATTATCCTAATGGAATAGTACTATTTGTACCCTTTGTGACATTCAATCAAGTTCAACACATCTTCACTGAGCATCTGTTATGTGCAAGGCACAATCTTAAATGATTCAGGGGCACGGAGGATAAATAAGATGGGCCTTGTCAGGACTGCTGCACCACACATCTCCAGGGGCACCAACCACCTGGAACTATGCAACTCAGTGGCCCTGGACTTACCCTCAGTGTTACAAGTACATGTTTCAACAGCTACAAATGCAAGGCAGAACTAACAGAAGGTCCAAACTACCACAAGAGAGCAAAAGGGTGAGGAAGAGAGGGGGAAGGGATGTGGGAGAAAGAGAGAGACAAAGCTAGGAAAGAGGGGGATAAGGCGTAGGAGAAAGAGAGCAAGTGAGTCCAATCACATTAGGAGATACAGGAGAGGGGAAAAAGAAACAGAGTTTGAGATGAGCCTTGAAGGATGGGCAAAATTTCAGTAATAGCAATGACGCTAACAACAGCCATGGCGGCAGCCACAGGTAACATACAGGACATGCTTAACTTAGTGTAGATGCACACACAGATCCAGAGGCACATACACACATCCAGCCCTCACAACAACCTCATGAGATAGGTTCTAAATGCTCTCAATTCCTTATCCATAATACTGGACTCCAAAAGGGTGAATCCAAACTGATTTTTTTTTCCCCTTGAGCATGGTACTAAAATTTATCTGTTAGCAATTCCTGACCTGAATTAAGGTGGGCTTTTTATCCCATTTGTTGTGAACATTCACTTATTTTGCTACAAACTATGATGGCAGCCCTGGCGGGTGGCTCTGTTGCCTACAATGTGGTTCCATACACCAAAAGGTTGCGATTCGATTACTGCTCAGGGAACATACCTAGCTTGCAGGTTCACTCCCAGGTCAGAGCACATAGGGGAGATAACTGATGATGTTTCTCTCTTACATCGATGTCTGTCTGTCTATCTGTCTCTCTCTCAATCCCTTCCTCTCTCTCTCTCTAAAAAAATCAATAGAAACATATTCTTGGGTGAGGATTAAACAAATTATGATTGTGTTTGACTACAGGTGCTGCCCACACCCCTCAAGGGTGTTACATAAAAATGCATATGCATCATATTACCTTTTTTAATTCCCACAAATTCTAAATTCTGAAACATCTCACCCAAGGAGTACAGGTAGAGGACATGGATTATTACAGAGAAGGAAACTGAGGCAGAGAAGATTATTTAATTTTCCAATGACACGACCAGTGGAAGTGGAGCTAGAATATGCAGGCAGTCTGGTTCCAGAGTCTCTGCAATTCTGCCTCTACAGTGAGGACAGAAACAGAGGACACACTCATTGGAACAAAGTGAAGGTCAGGAAAAACTGGCAAGTGGGAAACTATACAGTCTGACAGCAGCAAAGAGTAAGCAGAAGTAAGGAGCAAGAAAGAGAGTAAGAAAGAGGGTAAGTCAGGGATATAGTAGGGAATGTTCTGAGTCACACCACTAAAATAAACTACCAGGCCTTTGTCATGCCACTAAAATAAGCCAGGGAAGCCAGACAAAAATGGCTTGGATGGGAGGTAAGTTAGCATTTGGACATGCATGCACCTCATTCCTAATATTTATGATTCTAATTTTAAATGACTCAAATTACCTACATAAGAGAATGGACTAAGTCAATTATGGAGTAGTAGATGGTGAAATACTAAAAATGACTTCACAGACTTAAAACATGAATGCCTATGAAATAAGTGGGGAAAAAAGCAAGATATAAAATTGTGTACATAATCTAATCACACGTACATAATAGAAAACCCAAGCAGAGGGGGAAAACCCAGCACCATAACACTAACAGCAGTTTAACACTGGTACAACTATGAGTAACTTACGCCCCCTATTTTCCAAATTTTCTTCAATATAGTTTAGCAATATTATTTTTATAATATTTAAAATGTTTAAATACTTTACAAGTGGGTATTCTGACATTTCACAACACTCCAAGTGTTCTACAAACATCAGTCATCAAGAATCTCATCTGGAAAATAAACAAGGGCTATATTTATGGACAAGCATAAACATAGTCCCCATTTTACCCATTAAGAAATAAAAGGTGAGAAGGAAGAGTCCTCATATAAGATCACCTACAGAGCACAGTAAAATGGGCAACAGCCAGGTCAGGAAGTTCCACCCCATCCTTTACATCCCAAACCTCGGTGATCCTCTTGGAGGCAACACATCTAAACAGAGGGATATAACTGAGAACAGTCTTTGGAGGATCTTAACCAACTCACCTATGTAATCTGGGTATGTTCCATAGGCAAACAGGTTCAGCAACTGCAAATACGCAGCATTAGCTCCTTCTGCAAGCTGAGTAGGAAAAGAAACAGTTCAGAGACCAAGCTGTCTATCAATCACTGCAGTGTTCAAGCAGAAGGCGGGTGACATGTGCCACAGTTCTGTATTCTATTAGCTGGTCCCTTCCAACTCTTTCTTTGGGAAAAAAGTATTAAGATTAGTAAAGCCCCCAATTTAACTTTTCTCTCTCAGGAATTCTTTTCTTTAAACTTCACATAGCATGCCCAAGGAACTGCTTTTGCTTCAACAGATACACAAAGCAGTATTAGAAGCAGTTCAAGTTTTCTCAAGATTCCCTTGCCATTAAAATGAACACTGGAGCAACCTTGTCCACATACCATCTTGGCAGGTACAGCATGAGCCACTATCAAATCCAAATTAAACAAAATGTAGGGTTGGTTCCAAGTTTCAGGACTCTATGCGACTGTGACGCTGAGAGAGATGAGCACAGCATAAGGTGTGACAGAAGAGCCAGGTTGGGACAAGAAACCAGGATATCAGGCAACCCTAAGTAAAACTTTTCATTAAAATTACTTATTCCTCACTAATGTTGGTGTCAAAGAGCTTTCTTTAGAAGAAAAACGAAAGAGAATGTATTCTTCCTGAACTGCTCTGCTGTCAATTACCTTAACTGGGTGTTTCTTTTACTCACAAATATGGACCTGTTACTCTTCCAATTTACCAAACTCAGTGAAGTTTAAACAGGACAACCCAAGTTATTCTATGGACACCAATGAAATACTACTCAATTTTAACCATCTTTTAAAAAAGGGTTCCAAGCCTGGCCAGTGTTGCTCAGTGGTTGAGCATCAACCCATGAACTAGGAGGTCACAGTTGGATTCCCAGTCCAGGCACATGCCCGGAATTGCAGGCTCCATCCCCAGTAGGGGGTGTGCAGGAGGCAGCCGATCAATGCTTCTCTCATCATTGACATTTCTATCCCTCTCCCTTCCTCTCTCTGAAATCAATAAAAGCATTAAGTTTAATAAAGGGTTCCAAGATACTACATTTGTAATTTCAAACCACTGTAAGTCAACTAGCTTATTCCAGGCTTACATATGGAAAAAACAAAACAAACTATGGGGAGGTAAAGGAGATTTGTTAAACACCCCAAATTAGAGCAAGCATCCTAATATCCCAGTCTACCTTTCCAGGTCTGTTAACAACCTCCTGAGGTCCTGAATCAGAGGTGGAAGAGACCATCTAATCCAATCTCCACTTTTCAAACAGATGATTACAAAACTAGCGGTAACAGACTATTTCCTCTAGAGCAGATGCTCCAAAACTTCTCCCACTGGCCCAAATCAATAAGGTCTTTCCAGTTTTAATTTTCATCCATCTCCTCTTAGCCAATCTTTCACAATTACAAAACAACTAGTTGGCATATTCTTTCAGGCTTTTTATGAACCTGAAGGAACAGATTATCCCTTAGTCATCTCTTCTATTTAAATGATTAGCTATCAAGCCATGAAAAGACACAGAGGAAATTTAAATGCATATTACTAAGTGAAAGAAGCCTATCTGAAAAAGCCACATTTTATATGATTCCCTCTATAGCAGCGTGTGCCAACTGGTGGTCCGAGGACCACTGGTGGTTCGTGAGGTCCAGAAGTTTGGGGACCACTGGTTTAAGGAAACCTTTGGAGCAACGGTCACCAACTGGTGGTCTGTGAAGTCTGAAAGGTTGGCGACCACTGCTCTATAGCATAATAGAAAAGTCAAAATTACAACAACAGTAAATAGATCTGTCAGTGGTTGCCAGGGGTTAGAGGGAAGGGAGTGATGAACAGGTAGAATACAGAGGAGTTCTAGGGCAGTGAAACTACTCTGTATGATACTGTAATAGGGGATACATGGCATTATGCATTTGTTCAAACCCATAGAATGTACAGCACCAAGAATGAACCCAATGTAAATTATGGACTTTGGGTGATAATGATGTGTTAATGCAGGCTCCACACTGGTGAGGGATATTGGTAACGGGGGAGCCTATGCATGTGTGAGGGCAGGGGATATATGGTAAATCTCTACCTTTCTTTCAATTTTGCTGTGAATCTAAAACTGCTCTAGCCTGGCCAGCATGGCTCAGTGGTTGAGCACTGACCTATGAACCAGGAGATAACAGTTCAATTCCCGGTCAGGGCACATGCCCGGGTTGTGGGCTTGACCCCCAGTGTGAGATGTGCAGGAGGCAGCCAATCAGTGATTCTCTCTCATCATTGATGTTTCTATCTCTCTCTTCCTCTACCTTCCTCTCTGAAACCAATAAAAATATTTTTTTAAACTGCTCTAAAATATAAAGTCTATTTTTTTAAAAAGAACCCAGTTCTCCTCAATTTTTCTCATAGCATTCCTTTTCCTTCTCTGATATATTAAATTGTATTGAAAGCCCAGTGTGTCCGTCTACATATTAAGCTGTAAGGAAACAAGGGTAAGCACAATGGAGCATAGTCTCAACAACACTGATATTAAAAAAAACTCACAATTAAAAAAATAAAAGCAGCTCTTTTGGTCTCCAGCTGTTGCAGGGAGAAGAAATGACGCTATGTCCACGTGCCTACAATGGATGGTCATAGGGAACTGCTCCAGTATCCTCATTAAGAGGAACAAGCAGATGTACAGCAGCAAGTCCAGTCATCTGAAGGCCTGCAACTCCTACTACAACGGGCTGATTCACCACAAAGCTGTAGGTGTGGAGCCAGCAGCCAACAGCAGAAGTGTCCTAGTGGTCGTGACGTGAAGAACCAGCCAACAAAAGACAACCGCCTCCGCCCTGGCTGGTGGGCCCAGAGGTAAGCGAGTTGGCCCGCATACCCAGGGGTCACAGATTTGGTTCTGGTCAACATTTCTGGGTTGCAAGTTCCCCGTCCCCAGTTGGGGCTCCTG